TTAACATTAAAAAAGAAGGTTCGAACTCGAAAAGCTGTAATCACAACAGACTGCCGAGCGGTTTGCTATTTGACTTGCACTGCTGCTCTCTGAAAGCACTCATTAGCAGATTGGTATAAGGGAACTGTGAGACGGCATTTCAAGCTCCCCATGTACAGCTGCAAACGTCTATCTTGAAACCAGTATTAACACCAACAACAATGTCAACCTTGAAATCCAACATAGAAGCACTTTTGCTACTTACTTTAGACTAAGTTAGACTAAGTAGACTAAGCAATTAATAATTCAAGTCCTCTAACGACGAACAAAGGCCAAACCTTACAAGTCACTCATCAAACCGTTCTGATGAGTCAGCGTTGGAAGATTTTGGAGGAAGGATTTTGCGTAAGATTTTTGGTTCTCTGCGCATCGACAACAGCGAATATCACAGCCAATAGAACGATGAGTTGTATGAGGTATACGGCGACCTGGACATAGTTCCGCGAATCAAAGAGCATTGGCTGCACTGGCTAGATCGTGTGGTCAAAATGAATAAGAAGAATCCAGCTTTGAAAATTTTCGAGGCAATATTAGCTGGTGGAAGCAGAATGAAGAGAAAAATGTCCACGTCGTTGGAAACCTCAGATGAAGAGCGACCTGGTTTCACTTGGTATTTCCAATTGGCGCCAAACAGCGAAGAGAAGCAACAAAATGCACACTATTGCTGATTAAAATATAATTGCATTAACGGTACCTACGCCAATGTAGAAGAATAAGAAGAAGAACAGTTTTTTATGACAAGCGCAGTCACGTCTTAAATACATCCAAAGAAAAAATTTATACGAACTCTAAATTTGAATTCCAACGTGTTCAATCCTCACAGTTTTGTATGCCTCATTCATGTCTCGTTAAAGTATTTGTTAGATATGCGTGTCGAAATTTGTTTGTAAAGAACACCAAAGTGAAAGGATCACGATGTGGCAATTAATAAAAAATTTTAATTTGGATTGACGAGCATAATAAAGACACGTACAAACATACGAGCAGACATAGAGAACATCGAAACGATCAATGCACGGCTTGGAACGACTTAGAAGCGTTTGCATGTATTTATGTACGAGTATGTAGGCTAATAAAAAATAGATTTCATAATACCTGTACTAAATAGTATTCTTTAAGTGTCATGTGATCGTGAAGACAACCACGCATCCTCATGGCACGGAAGAACAGCTTTTTTTCGCTAATCCATAATTACCCAGCTTAGCATGAAATTTTGAACTATTACTTTTGAACACTTTTTAATTGCAAATGAATGGCTGAATCTTTACTATGTGTACAATCGTCCATTTCATAATGCAGTCTAACTAAATAACCGATTGGCTGAAGATGGAACTTGTTTACCTCAACCTTGAAATCATGTGACAAAACACGAATAAGCGATGCGATCGTGTGTTCTCTTTTCTCGTTCATTTGTTTATTTTTGTTTTCATTTTTATTTTAATTTTTATTTTTTTGTGATTTACCTTTCCAAACGGAACCGCACGAAAGGCCCAAATAACAAGCGAATTAATTAAATTCGATTTTCAGACAGCAAAACTTTGTGCCAAGCGGAATCAGGTGTAAGCCAAAAAAAAATATTATTTAGATAAAAGTAAAAAAATAATTCAGTAAAACGGAATTGTTTATTAGAACGTTTTCATTATGAACATTATTTATTACTGATTTAAATAAATTTGAATGCCTTTGTTGCTATTTCAAGGGGCTGAGTGTCGCAGGGGTTGTGAAGATGCGCAAGCAATTTTTTTTTACAGACTTATGTATGTATACAAAATTATTAATTTGTATTCTAGAAAACGATCAAAAGTGAATGTAAATTTATTTAAGGTTGCTTAATTAATGCTATAAATAGATTTGAAAAAATATTGTGCTCATAATATGAATGTAGGCTGAGTTTGATGAATGATGCTATTAACAGAGGTTTATTAAATTTATTTTATTTGAATTTATTACAGCCATCAAAGGGTGTTTTTTTAGACATTTGGCTTTCAAGAAGAAATAAAACATATATAATTCAATGTTCTTCTGCTTACTGCTTCCACGATTATAGCTGAGTTGACAGCAGCGCGTCATTCATTCCTGCTTTTCGCTGTTTGGCGCCAACTGGAAATGCCAAGTACAATCACTTCTTCCTCTACCTGGTCTCTTCACCGCTTCCACCGGCGGGTATTGTTTCGAAAACTTTCAAAGCTGGAGGTTTCATACCACCAGACTTGTCTTTTGATTCGCTGAACTAAGGCAATGTCACCGTATATCTAGTATAGCTCATCGTTCCATGTGATGCGGTACTCGCCATTTCCAACTCACAGAACACCAGAAATCTAAGGCAAAAACCTTTCTCATGAAATCTTCTAACACCGACTTATCAGATGTTGTCATCGTCCACGCTTCCCTACCATATAGCAGGACGGAAACGATGAAGGACATTTAGAATTTGTTATTCGTTCATCGAGAGAGGACTGCATTTTTCAAATGCCAACTCAACCCAAAGTAGCACCTGTTGACAAGACTGATTCTGCGCTGGATTTCAATACTGATATTCTTGTTGGCTTGATGGCAGGAGATATTTCGTCTTGTTCTTCCTCATTGAGGTGTTATTGGTATTATTAAGGCCAATGAGATCAATAGCATCGGTCAGTAGTTGTACCTTCGCTTTTCAGCTCTACAGCTCGTATTGATTTCTCCAGCTATAAATTAAAGAATTACGTGATAAGGAGTCACCTTGTCTGAGGCCCTTCCCGATCCTGACGGTTTATAAAGATAAGGGTTCGCCGTTATGATTAGGAAATGATTTCGGGCAGTCCAGTCGAAAGGATCAATTTTCCACCATTTTTTGTTGCGATTGCGACCGTACGATGGCAATTACGCGCCGAATATTCTCTTCTAAGTCATCAATAATCTCGAGCTCATCTGCCTATATAAGCGACTTCACCTTGCTCCACAAAAAATTTTTCAGCGGTGTTAAACGGATGATCCTGACGATCTTGGATACCACGCTAGAGGCCCATGACGCTATAAAAAACGCCTTCATTCAATAAGTTGTTTGTTTCATTGGCTGTATGGCATATAGCACCGCCTATAGAGCACACTGAACAGTGACTTTTTGAGAATGTACTAGTACCTCAATATTGGCTTCGGAATCATTATCACTCCAAATTATTATTAATGTACTCATAAATGATCTTCATCGCTCTACAAAATTTTCTTATTAAAATCGGGTTCGCTTTTCAACTCGTATTGGACTCATTCCCCGAACATGTGGCGCTCTAGATGGTCGCTGAGGGTCAATTCTTACTCGAGCTGGATTTTGTAAGTCCGCAAACCAAGGTTCTTCCGCAAAATCTTCCTCAAACTGGATGGGCATAGCTCCGAGTATTACGCGCGATGGTGGATGGGTTCATTCGGTGAGCGCTGTACGGTTTCTGGATAGCCGAAGATCAGTGTATGAAGTTAAGTTAAGTTAGGATAAACTGGTTGAGCCATCGAGTCTCACTTAGACGATAATACGTTCGTAATGTTACCATATAACACTACATAAGGACCAAACTGTTCTATTATACACTCTTTATGGTGGCTCTAGTCGGAAGAGCATTGTAGTTCTCCTTGCAGATTAAGGGAGTCGATTAAGCACTTTGTTAATTGCTTACTTAAGGTCCTGCCGCTTTTCTGGACCCGGGAAGTATAGCCTTTGTGTGCCTAATGCCGGAGTCCAGTAAAAACGTTTTTCAACATATGCTTGGCACATATTTTCCTGACGAGGCAATATTACTTTTTAGGCCTGTTTCATTTCCCTGTGTTGGAACTTGTAAGTCCATAATTACATACTGCTCTGATAAGACACCCTCCCACACCAGTTAATCAGCTATCGCATTTCGATGCCCAGGGGCGTAACTAACAACTAGAAATTCTGTTAGTATTTCATACTAATTTCGGACGGCAAGTTTTTGTGGAGAATAGTGTAAAAAGGCTTTACGTATGTACATACATATGCGAAAAGAAATTCGATGCTACATGTAGTGAACAGCGGTGTAGTGAATTGCGGCAAGCTGACTGAGTACAGTGGCTGAACTAGAAAAATTACTCAACCGTTGGAAGAACCAATTACTAGAACCAATGGACATAACTCAATAAGCAAGGAAAGGGTGGCTCTACCATTTACGGTAAGCTTGTCTGGCGACAAAGTGTCAAGAGGAGAGATAGTCTTCAAAATGTCCGGTAGTCTTCTGTAGAGATTTATGCATTGGCGTGAGGTTCTTCCAGATAGCAGTAGACCAAACAAGCAGGCAAGCCTTGAACCGACTCCTCAGCAAGCTTTGAGCTAGCACCTCCACATGCACGGTTGCGAACTTTTTCTGACACGAGGTAAATCGTGGATGATCAGTTGACCTCCTTTCCATCCCAGTGGTTGGAGAGAAAAGAGACATGAAAACATATAAATATAGTACATATGTACATCTGCACTATCCGATTCACTGAGGAAATAATGGTCTAGCGGACGGGATAATCTTGCGCTTTGCGTTGGCAAACATGCACATATGTAAATGATATAATCTAGGGATCAGCTATGTATATCCAATTGAATTCAAAGCTGATTTAAAGCTTTTTAACCGATAAAGCTAATTTCAAATACTTTTTACTTGACAGTTTCCAATTCGCTTTAAAAGCTCTTAACCAACGCACGCACACATCTACAATGAAATGTAAATAACCCCATATCGGTATACGTGAATTCGCCTTCAAAAATGTAAACAAAACCCTCACACAATCAAACGTCATGTAAACAAATTCAACAATTGGCCACAGCTGATGATAAGAAAAGCTGCTGTTTTCAGTATGAGCAACAGCTGATTGTCACTTCTGACAATTGGGAAAAAAATAAAAAGTAAACAGAGAGCAGAGAACTTATAATAACAATTATTATAAGTTCTCTGCAGAGAGTAAATTACTGTCAAAAATGACAATTGAACATTGTAGCCAGCGGCCATTTTTATTTTGACTTGTACACAGTGGAAAAATCGACCGATTAAAAAAGTGAAGGAAAATGAATTTTGAATGCCAAAATCATTAAAAAGTTTTGTGAATTTTATTTGAATCCACTAAAATCTGCAAAATGTCCGGTTCACAACGTTCTTTTGCGCAGAAATTAACGAAGTAAGTTTATTTTAAGTGCTCTACTGAAACCACACCGGCTGTATGTGTGTTTGTGGCAAAGTGGATTTCCTTTTTCCACTTTCACCAAGGTTGTAAATTTCACTTTTTCTGTTTTTTCGCAGACATAATTCTTCGGAGTTGCGAAAAAATGCAGGAATTTCTCATTTGCAAACAAAGACCGTGGATACCGGCTCGATGTGTTCATCAACAGTGAGTGCATACATATATCATTGTGAGGGGGGGAAGGACGGGCGGTGGTTTGAAAAATGGGTGGGGCTTCTGTGTTGCTATTTGTTAAGTAGGTTACTCACCCCAGTTTCAAACGATTTGTGGAAAGCCACTTTCTTTTTTTCACGCGTTCTTTCTCCCCTCTTAATAATCAGTTTCTATATATAAACACTATTTAAAACCTTTTGCGGCAAATTTATTAATTGACACAGCTTTCACTGACCGAGCCTGTAGAACCATTGGATTATGAAGAATTTCTCACTCAACATATGAATATTTTGAATAGAGATCCGTTGAAGCACATTCTTGATTTTCCACCTGCAGATGTAGCTGTCAAAATCATACCACGTAAAATACGTACGATTGAACATATTGTGCCAAAGGAAAATATGTAAGTCACTTTATAGATTTCTTTCTATGGAAATTAATGTATTTATCACTCTCTTAGTGCTGAATTACCCATACATGTCCAGGAATGTGTTAACTGTTATACACGGCCCTGGAAGGTAGTCGAATATGCACAACGTCACTACTCCAGTTCGTGCTGTGCACGCGAGCGTATCGACCGTGGCACTATCAGTCCTTCTGCTTATCAGCAGGAGTTTGAAATCGATAAGGAATTTGCCTCTTTCGATGAAAATCTAACAGACAAAAGTGACAGCTGTACACCCAGTTCACGACAATCGATTGCCAGCTTATCTTCGGTGAGTTCATGTACAGATACTTTAACACCGAGAGGTTCGTGGGCCAGTTTTGATTTGCGTCGTTCTGTAAATGATCCATTAATACCCAATTTGCTGGATGATGTACCACCAGAGCAAATTGATCAGACAAATGAGTGCCGGCGTCAAGAAGATCGCCAAGAGGCACTTTTTTCGTTATACCCCGAAGCTGATCCTGAAGATGTTATCGAACGTCGTTTACCCGCTGAAATACCTATGGAACATTTGGGTCATCGTATACTCGTGAAATGCTTACAGTTACGTCTGGAGTTGGAGGTAGAGCCAATTTTCGCCACCATGGCAATATATGATGCAAAGGAACGTAAGAAAATATCTGAGAATTTTTACTTCGACATGAACTCGGATAATTTGAAACGTATGCTTAGCACACATGTGCGTTGCGCCGACGCAAGCACACAAAGTCGTGCCGGTATTTTCGAAATAACATACCCGAGCAGTGACATTTTTCTAGTCATACGTTTAGAAAAAGTATTACAAGGTGATATCAAAGATTCGGTAGAGCCTTATTTGAAAGACGACAAAGATAAGTACCGCGAGAAAGCCAAATCGAATGCAGCCGACTTTTGTGAACGTTTGGGCAAATACCGCATGCCATTTGCATGGACTGGTATTTATCTCAACAGCATATTTAATGGTGAGAATGTGGAAAATAAGGAAGGTGCTGCAGGTAATGCCGAGAAAGATGGCGCTGGAGGTGGAAATTTGACCTCCGCCGTTAGCTCCAACAGTTTGGGTGAGCTTTTATATTGTTTCGGGAAATTTTAGTATGTTTTCATGTTTTTATTATTTAATTAAAGATCGTAAAGCATCTACTAGTAGCTTTGATCAGCTACGCCGCAAAGCTAATGATATGAGTGGTACTTTAACACGTCGCGGCTCTTTGGAACGCAAAGAGAAGCGTAGATCCTGGTCATTAGATGATTTCGCTAACGTCATTGAGACTTTCCGGCCGATAACTATTACGGTGTCGAGTTTCTTCAAACAAGTAAGTGGGGAAAATATAACATATAAAAGCTAAATGAAAATAATTTTTATTCAAATAATTTAGGAATCGGATAAAATGAAAGATGAAGATCTTTACAAATTTTTAGCTGAGCTAAAACGCCCTAGCAATGCTATGAAAAAGTATAAATGCATACCCGGTTCTATAAAACTCGAAATTTCACCTTGTCCCGAAGAGGTAAAAAACGCACTCACGCCCGAACTGGCTAAAGTCGACCCCTATCCCGAGGATAAAACACGCCCCATCAAAGAAATACTGGAATTCCCCTCAACTGCGATATATAATCCACACTACACCTACCGTAACTTGCTCTTTGTCTCACCAAAAGAGTTGAATTTCTCTTCACGCGCCGGCTCCGCACGTAACATTGCTGTACGCGTTCAACTAATGGCTGGTGAAACTCAAATGGATGCGGTTAATGCAATATTTGGCAAATCTTCTTGTCCTGAATATGCCAGCGAAGCCTTTACAGCTGTCAATTATCATAATAAATGCCCAACATTCTATGATGAAATCAAGTTTGCTTTACCAGCAACTATCAAACAAAATCATCATCTCTTCTTTACCCTCTATCATGTGTCGTGTCAAAAGAAACCACAAGAGATGCAACCATCAGTTGAAACACCAGTTGGTTATACTTGGCTGCCATTGCTGCAGGATGGCAAATTGAAAGTGGGCGAGTTTCAGTTGCCTGTTATGGTTGAGACACCACCAGAGAACTACTCTTTCATACCACCCAATGTACATTTACCAGGTACCAAATGGCTGGATAATCACCGGCCAGTTTTTACCATTACCGTGGACGCTGTAACGGCTGTACACACATTGGATCCACATTTAGATGGGTAAAATTTCAAAAGCTTGTGTTGAGTCTGATAGTTTAGTACACTTTTCTATTTCAGTTTCTTTCTCACCTGCGATTATTTGGATTCACGTAAAATACCGCCACGCATCGGTGAAGGCAATATGGAGAATGAAATGAAAAAAGCTTTGCTGGAAATTGCTAGCGCCGAGCGTGAGCCACTGGTAAAGAATCTGCATTTGGTGTTGGACAAATTAATAGAACTTTTAGTTACCACTTATAAAATAAGTGGGCAGCCACTTTCTCTGGGCTCGACCGTATTCGAAATGCTTTGTATGGTCTCCGCAAATTTATCGGTAAATAATCTTGTGACTAAGCTTTATGCCAAGATATTTCAAGGCATCAATTTTCTTTTAGATCTTAAACGATGATTTAGTTGTCGATCAATATGGCCGCCAAGCGTTACTTTCCACGTACGTGCAATTCCAATGCCGCATACCACATCCATTCGGTGGCAAAAGACGAATTACCTACAGCCGCAGCAATGCTGAAGAGATGACTGCTAATGCCGCCGATACGTATAGTCTTTACGAAAACGTATCCATTGGGCGTAGTCTCGATCGCAAAGGTAAGTGTTTCGAATTTTTAATATATTTTCTTTAATAAAACCAAAAAAAAAGAATTCACGAAAATTTCATAATTTTATTGATCAGAACATACACTGGAATTATCGCCAACATTCGGCAGTCGCGATGGTCAAATACGTTTACTGCACGAAGAGTTAGCTTTGCATTGGGTGGTCGCCAGTGGCAAGGCGACCGAGCTTGCCATGTCCAATTCGTGGTTCCTCTTCGAATTGATTGTCAAATCTATGATTGAGCATTTGGATTACAGCTGCGCATTGTCCGCACCACGAAAACCACGTTTTCCACATCAATTCACCGATGATATCTCAACACTTGTACATTTGGTAACCACCAAAGTGGTGGGCTATCACAGCGAGGAGCCAAAGTTGGCGCAATCATTAAATGCCAGCTTGGGCTTCTTCGTCTTTGATCTTTTCAGCATAATGGATCGTGGTTTTGTATTTGGTCTCATCAAAACTTATTACAAAGTGTTGATCTCGAAAAATGCTTCAATACCGGATTTGATGAATTATAAAATAGACTTTCTACGCATTGTTTGTAGTCATGAGCATTTCGTGGCGTTGAATTTACCATTTGGCACGCCATACACCACAATTTCTGCGCCCTGCAGTCCAACACCGAGCACTACGTCGAGCAACAGTCAAACTTCTTATGTTAGTTTACTGAATTTGATTGATATAAAAAGCAAAATTAAATATTAATTCATTTGTAGAGCTCCACAGAACGCGCTTTACATGCAGATTTGAGTGCTGATTTTCGTCAGCAACATTTTCTTGTCGGTTTGGTGTTAAGCGATTTGGCAACCGTGCTGGAAGTGCCGTAAGTAGTTGCTATGGAACTATCCTTTTGTACATTTCTTATATAAACTCTATTTTTTATATCTTACATATAGCAATCCTCAGTTGCATGGCAAAGCTATACGTTGTATACGCAATTTAATGACGTCACATGACTTAGATCCACGCTATAGTGAGGTGGAAGCGCGTGCGCGTGTCGCTTCGCTCTATCTGCCACTACTGGGTGTTGTGATGGATGTTATACCACAACTGCATCAATATCTCACAGACACGCACGATCGCCTGCAAAGCATTGGCCTGCTTGAAGATTATCAAGGTCCGCACCAAAGCCTTTCCTCCTCTACCATAAATCCAGATTTTTCTTACACTAATTCTGGCCATCGTACCTACAACTATTTAAATGAACAGATAAAAAATAAATCACAATTGAGTAGCGAAAATACACGACATTTGCTCGCTTGTTGCATTTGGGTACTAAAAAATTTGGAACGCACCATCTTATATCGTTGGCTGCTTGGCCTAAATCCGCATCGTGTACATCAAATGTTACAATTATTGAATACTTGTATACCTTGTTTCGAGTATAAAGGTCAAAAGCGTTTGCCCTCACTCAAACGCAATACACAGAGTTTCCGTAAACCAACTGATTTGAAGGAGAAGCTCGAGGAGTGCATACGTGGTACAAATTCAGCGCGTTACGATCTCATCAACAGACGTAAAGATCGTAATTCGACAGAGAAATTTCGTTGGCGCAAAGATCAGATGCCATATCGTTCACAATTCTACGATAACGCTACCAAAGCGGATCCCGAGCTTGAGCTGAATCATTTCATAGAAGGTTCGCTGGCCACGGAGATATCTTTGATTATCTTGGATGCCCTGGAGATTATTGTGCAGGTTGCGACTAACTCGGAAATGCATCACAATCTTCTGGGCACAGTGCTGAAGGTACTGCTGCATGCCTTGTCGCGCAATCAGAGCACATTATCATTGCAAAATCAATTCGCTTCGCAACGTTCGCTCATCTTCAAATTCCCCAATTTGCTATTCGATGAAGAAACAGACATTTGCGCTGATTTATGTTTGCTGCTGTTAAAGCATTGTGGGTCTTTGCTGCCTGCTATACGCTCGCAAGCCTCGGCTTCGCTGTATTTGCTAATGCGTCAGAATTTCGAAATTGGAAATGTGAGTAATATTATATGGAAATTATTGTTCACAAATCTAATTTTTTTTTCTTAAATTTTATAAACTAAAATTTTCCACAATCAGAATTTCGCGCGCGTCAAAATGCAAGTGACCATGTCTTTGAGCTCTCTGGTCGGCACCAGCTCTGCTTTTAGCGAACAATCCTTACGTCGTGCGCTCAAAACCGTCTTGGTATACGCCGAATCGGATCAGGATTTACAGGAAACCTCATTCCCTGAGCAAGTACAGGATTTACTCTTCAATCTGCACATGATACTTTCAGATACCGTTAAGATGAAAGAATACCAGGAAGATCCGGAAATGTTGCTCGACCTCATGCACCGCATAGCTAAAGGTTATCAAAATAATCCAGATTTACGTCTCACCTGGTTGGAGAACATGGCAAAGAAGCATCGTGAACGTGCTAATCATACCGAAGCCGCGATGTGTTATGTACATTCCGCTGCTCTAGTTGCTGAATACCTCAGCATGTTGGAGTCACAACAACATTTACCCGTAGGTGCTGTTAGCTTTAAGCATGTCACACCGAACGCACTCATGGAATCAGCTGTTTCGGATGATGTCTTGAGTCCCGGCGAAGATGGCATTTGTTTGGGTAATCATTTCACCGAAAGTGGTTTGAAGGTGTTGTTGGAAGAGGCGTCAAATTCGTTTCAAATTGCCGGCATGTATGAGGCTATGAATGAGGTTTATAAAATTTTAACACCCATTTGTGAGGCGAATCGAGATTTCCAGAAATTGGGCAAAATTCATGGTAAATTACAAGAAGCCTTCAATCGCATCGCACAGCTGCAGGGTAAGCGAGTGTTTGGCACTTACTTTCGCGTAGGTTTCTATGGCACGAAATTCGGTGATTTGGATCAGCAGGAATTCATATATAAGGAGCCGACACTAACGAAATTACCAGAGATCTTCAGTCGACTGCAGGTAAGCTTCGGACTCTATATCCTGTTTATAGCGGTTCTAATAGCTTTATAACCAAAAAAGCTTACAAAAATATTACACACTTAGGATCATTTTTCTAGTTCTTGGTCTCAGTCGGTCGGTTCAGCAGCTAATTTTTTTTCTGGTTATTGCGACTTTCACAATTGCTTTTTTCAACTTCTCTAAATTTTGAATAAACCGGACACACTCAGGAAGAAAGAACTCGTCTACATGCAGCAATATATTGTATAACGTCCGCTGGACGCGATTTACCACCAAGTATATTAAACGTTATTCATAGAGAGCAGCCTACCCTGACGTTGGAACGGCATATTAGTGTCACAGCTAAGATCTGAATACCGTGGTATTCTCGAGCCTGACCTGCGCGGAATGAGTCTCGGAACGACTCTAACCACCTCCTTCCATGCCTCTTTAGTATGAACTCGTTAAAACAGCTCATATTTTGGGCTTCCAAACCTGGATGATGGCGACTAACTTTGCATGCTTCCAAGTGAGATTACCTAGTCGCAATAACAACCAAAACTTTTATAATTTTAAGTTCACCTAATCCCTTCAACGGAATTAAAAAGAAAAGCCCAAGAAGTGACTTCGGAATATCTGAGCTGCCTTGTCATATACGCAACAACTTTATACCTCTAAGACCCCCTTATCGAAACCCCTTGCCTTGGAAGGTGCTAGATTTCCTATATCAACGTCGATCTAAGCGCCGCCACCTGACCAACACGCAGTCTCTATTAGACTACTATAATGTTTATGCATTTTCAGAACTTTTATGCCGATCGCTTCGGACCCGACTCGGTGCATATAATTAAAGACTCCAATTCAGTTGATGTTAATTCATTGGATCCCGAAAAAGCATACATACAAATAACCTATGTGGAGCCGTATTTCGAAACCTATGAACTGCGGCATCGTGAAACCTATTTCGAGCGCAATTTCAATATAAGTGAGTTTATTTATTGAGCTAACCTCAAAAAAAAAATTCAATTCTCTTTCATTCTCTCTCTCTCTCTCTCCACGTAGAACGTTTCATCTTCGCCACACCCTTTACGAAATCGGGCAAAGCACACGGTGATCTACATGAGCAATGCAAACGCAAAACCATACTCACCACAGCTAATCATTTCCCCTATGTGAAGACACGCATACAAGTGATAGCGCGTCAACAAATCATATTGGAACCCATAGAGGTGGCCATCGAGGATATACAAAAGAAGACCGTTGAGTTGGCAGCCGCCACCAATCAGGAGCCTGCAGATCCGAAAATATTACAAATGGTACTACAGGGTTGCATTGGCACAACCGTTAATCAGGGACCCATGGAAATGGCTACAGTATTTTTAACGAATCTCTCCGACGGCATAACGGTGCCAACCAAACATCAAAATAAATTACGTTTGTGTTTTCGTGAATTCTCCAAACGATGCGCCGATGCATTGAAGAAGAATCGTAATCTAATATCGAGCGATCAGAAGGACTATCAACGGGAATTGGAACGCAATCATGAGCGTTTTGTAGAACGTTTAACGCCGTTCATTACATTAACGGTCGCACAAGCGCAGGGTGTTGTGAAGTAAGAATTTTGTGTGTGTGTGTGTTGTTTTTTTGTATTATACTATTATTTATTGGAATTTGTTTTTTTTTTATTCATTTTTACGTCAACCTTTACTTTTATATATCGAAAGCACTTTAGTATGTACATATATCCCGTAGTCGGTTATTTTCACTTTTTCACAAATTTTTTCTCTTATTTTTATTTGTAGAGCCAATGCTTACATCCATAAGAGCACACCTTTGAAATGGTAATTTATCACCACTTAGTTGGCATAAGGAGAAGTATATATAATGACAATATCATGCACATAATCATATATTTTATGGCACTTTGATTGGTTTTTTGTTTAATTGCAAATTCTACACAAATTCTCGTATCATCTAACTGTATTTTCTCTACCTTCCCACCAACCCTCTTACATGTCTGTACCTATGGATTTACACGTGGACCACCTTAAATGTAATTTTAATACTCAACATTTTTTTTTCTTAGTGTTTCTGACTATTTTAAGTAGAATATTAGTTTTTTTGAAACATTATACACATGAATATAATTAGGTATTACGCATTAAGTTTTATATTTGTATAATTTTTCTCGAATTTAGCAAAAATGTTTATAGTACCTACATATGTATGTATATGTATCTGTACTTAAAAGACTTGATTGGTATGGTCTAAATCGAAGGACTTTTTTTACTTTAAATTAAATTTATAATAAAATAAAAAAATTTAATTACCTGTTTAGTTCCTTTATTACATTTAATGTTGTTCACTCAAAAGATTTTCGTCCTTCAGTTAAACGCCGTATCATTCGTGGTACAATAACCAAAAAAAAAAGAAATTATTCAGAAATTGCATTTCTCAACAACATGAATTATGATCTTTTTTTTTTAGTTTAATTTAACTATTTACACTTTACTTTGGATTTTTCATTTCTTAGTCCTTGTATTTATAGATTTGTATTGTAGTATCTAGTATTTAAACACAATTTATACACATCACTTGAAAGTACCAAAAATATTATTATAAAAACAAATAATCATCTTTAACACGATCACAATATTTTTTGTAGTAAATGTTATTACGCATTGAATAGTTTGTACTTTTATACTGAAACGACACGGCGTGAGGAGCCACCGGTCATACAACATACTCGTATATACCACATACATACCCGTAATTCATATATACAAAATCTCTTATGGACATTGTATATTTATAAATATTGCAATAATAATAATTTTACTTGAAAATAAATGTTTGTAAAATCATTTACACATATTTTGTATGTATTATGTCCAAGAAACGAGGGAAACCTAAACTGAATCGTCACCTAGGCAGTGTCTTAAGGGGGGAACCTGCTTTTGAGGGTCAAAAAAATCGATTTTTTGAAACTTAACTCATTCGATTAGAAATATTTCCACAAAATTTCAGAGTCAAATTCCTAATCGTTCCGCAGAAATGGCCTCTGAAAGACAATGCGCTCAGGAGATTGATAAGCGGGCGCGAGAGCTTTGAATGCGATTTTCTTAAAACAGTGTTTTTCTGTTTTGTGCACACGATTAAAAAGGTGGTAATTGTCGCATTTTCATAAGTGATATCTTTTTTTACAGCGAATAGTGTGGGCTTCTATGTGAACCTAAAAAATCACAACAAAAGGATTTTTTTATTAACTTTTTTCAATAAATTATCTTGAAATTTCTACAGAAAAACGCAAAATTTTTTATAAACAGTTATAAAATAAATAATTTTATACATTTCTTCGAATGTCTTAGGTTCAACTAGAAGAACAACTCCTAAGCTACAAAAAAAAATGTTCGTTTTTATGTCTCAGATGAAAACTACGTCCGCTATCGTGTTCACAAATCAGACTCTTCGAGCGAGAAGAGCCACAAACAAATACGAATTGTTATTGCTTAACAGTATCAAATAAAGTAAAAGTAAATTTTTTTGCAAGTTTTGTGTATCTAAGACCTATTTCAAAAGTACTTGAAACATTTCGTACGTAAGGCAACCTAAAACACTGTGACGAATATCATGCAATTTTCAGCGTTCTAAACCAGGTTCCCCGCTTAAGGACACCATATACGTCGAACGAAGATAATTATTGCCATTGCATGCCTGTCGTAAGAGGCGACTGAAATTCAAGAGTTCCTGCAACAGTTAGGTCTTTATACCAGAATGACTCGGATTTTTATACGGCCAAGGACTGTCACTCCTGCAAGATTTACCGTAAACAAATTCGGGGAATATTTTGTAGTTACAACAATAACGTCAACAAAGAAATTTCAAGCCGTATTGCACAGTTACTCAACGAAGTCATCTAGCGGGAGCTCCAGGAAAAAAGCGTTTTCGACAATTTCGAACCGGGAAAAGAGATCGAGGGTATTAAATGGATTAAATGAAAAGAAATGGCGGAAACTCAACACATGCAGAATAGACCGGAGTGAAGTATATTGCAATCAGTGCTAATCGGTTTCATCAAGGCAAGGGTGTGGTTGGTTTCCGAGCTTCTGCAATTGCCTCTGTGAATAAGGCTTTGTCGCTCTGTCCAACGGTTTTAAGTTCTTTGAGCCGAGTACCCTTTCCTGGTGTGCCTAGATATTTTTTCGGATACCAGTAAATGTCAAGTAGAATTGTTCTTTCGGTGGTGAGGAGGTGACGTGAATTGCTATGTTCCTTCGTTGCTATGGATAGGAGATATATCGGCTGATATGATCATCCTTTGATAACAACTTTATCTGGTTTTCATAATGGGACCACTCTACTCTGTTCTTAAATGTCGCGTATTGATAGTGCGGTCATAGACAAATTGAGGATCTGGGCAAGGAATTTTATTCGTGATAGGCACAGAGTTTTAACATCGGCGTGGTGACTCCGTCGGAGCTGATGGATTTGGCGGTTTCGTCTACTCGATAACCTCCGGGTCACTCGCCGCTTTATTTTTGCAACTAAATGGTGCAGTGCTTAAAGTCGTTTAAAAAAGCTCTGTCTCTTCTTCTAGGCCGACGAGGCGCTAACATCGAATAAAAGTTATACCCGGTCATTGCATCTCGCTTGATTTGAAAGGTGTCCAAAGCTTGGTTGCGCCAGATGAGAGGTTGCAAAACGAAATTTAGTTTGCCGATTAGACGATCTGCGGGATCAGTTTTACGTAGAGAGTCACGCGGAAGAAAATTTCTCCAGTTATAACGTCCGTTGGTGAGGGGAGAGCACTGAGGGTAATTTGTGAAGTCCGGTGAATCATGGCAATTGTCTACAATTTTGGTGAGAGCGTCATGATTCAGAATGTGAAATGGTCTATCTGTTCTTCAAAGCTCCATTCCTCCACTGTCAAATATCGGTGCTCGCCTCAGGACGCTATATCCTGAGCAAGAAGTAACGGGAGGTATGTACATGCATATATCAAATACGTATGTATGTCGAATTGGCCGCAATAGCCGAGTAGTTAACATTGCGTAGTTCCATTCGGTCGATAGTGGTGCTGAAGGTACAGCCGTAAATGCTTAGGGCGCAGTTGAGCGCCAGCAGAGTGGCTTTACGTAACTCGCGGTCCATTCGCTATGGGTTTTAGAGCCTCCAAAATTCCAACGGGACAGGGTTGATTGAGACAAAATTTACCTATTGAATTAAGTGTAGTTAGGTCGGTTCAACACTGGTGTGAGAAACGGAACGTCGTTCGAATGGTATATTTTATATCATACTGCATACATACGAGTACATATATGTAGAATAAGCCAAAATGTAAAAACAACACAAGAATGCATTAATTATATTTTTGTGCTATTTTATTTCGTGTAATTTTACAACATACATTGTAGGCTATTTATTTAGTAAGACAACAGTAGAGCGTTACAAGTGTAAATTTTTTAAATGTAAATTACGTAACAAATACAGTTGATAGCTTCAATAGCACGCACTAATAAAAATTTAGTGCGTCTTTTAATTCATTTAACTTCATTAATCAAACAACAAAATCTATATTTATATATATTATCTTTATGTGGCACTTAATAATGGGGATATAAACGACAGCAAGGCTGACAATAAGCTCTCTACCATCACTCAAAATTAAAGGCATAACCTTTCAGACCTTCGAAGAATTTCGACTCATCACCAGCACTTTGCATTATATTTAATTTTTCCACAGCTGATGCTAGATTTGCAGAGGCAACGTTGATCTTTGCACTAGGGTCATTGGTAAGGGAATGCCATTCATTTCGATCGTTCAATACATTGGCAGGATTGCCTTCCTCATACAGTGGTTTGGGCATAATATGGAAGGCACGTAATTTTCTGAGGAAATTATCTGCAAGTAAAGTAAATTGCAACTAATACAGCTTATTTCCCAAAAATTTAGCATTTAGAACTCACTTTGTACACTGTTGAATTTAAGATGTTTAGCATTATCCGACCACCATTCGCATATCAGCCAAAGGTAATGTTTGGTGGTCTCTTCCGCATAACGAAATAGCCGCGTTGAGTAGTTGTCACAGAATATTGTGTGCAACAACTGCACGGATATTTGTGAAATCTCAGCTACGCGTGGTGTTTCTGAAAGTGCACAAATACAAAGTGTTAGCGAGTGGATTTGAAAAAGCAATTTTGAGTTTTAACAAACCAATTTTGCATTCCATACACTGCCACTGACGCAACAACTGAAAAAGTAACGTCACCACGCTCAGGCACAGCTTCGTATAGCATTCACATTGTGCTGCTGCATTGCTGTTAGTAGATTTTTTCTGTGCCACGTTCGTGTTTGAGCAATCTGTTGTTGAACTTGCATCAATGGTGTTTGTTGTACCTGTTAAAGCGCCACTGCTTTGTTCTTGTCCTACAAAAACGGGCTGCTCCTCCACCTTTTTACCATCATCCTCATCGTCGTCGTCATCATCATCATCATCGTAGGAAGGCAGTAATTTATGTATGAAATTAGGCGGCTTCATGAAGCAGTAGTGTGCGAAACGCACATGATTCTCGCAAATCACAGCAAGCAAACGCAGATGCGTTTCACTCAACACACCATTCAATGGAAATGTAATCTCCAGCAGTCCTGCATATACTTGCAGTATACACGAATCGTTTGAGTAGCGATATAGCGAGCGCATGCGATCACTATAGAATGCGCTTCCGTCGCTGTTTACGCACAATAGTTCTAAAGCTGTTGGGAGACGTGTTAATTCCAACACACAATAGGATATTTCACGAAATATCCACGCACTGGGACGAACAAATATCAATTGTTTTAATAGTCCGCCTACCAGTATTTCGCTGTGATCGATGTCATTAGCGCGCATCTGTCGCAGCAGCACGCGCAAAAGTACAGCGAAAGCTTCGAGCGCACCAAAATGCGCACAAAGCTCACTTGAGTAACCTAATTTGGAGATGGCATGGCATGCCACCTCCAGCAATGCGCAGTCGCCATGTTGTTGTGCCAGCAACTGTTGTGCGAAATTCGGCGCACGCGCACACATCACACTCAACGCAGCAGTGTAACGACGCAAGCTAATCGCGCGCTCATCTGCGTATAATTGTTGCACTGAGTGTAAATTGCGTTTTTGTTTTGCATAATCATCATTACGTAAATCGTAATCATGATAGGGATGCACATTGCAGTGTTTGGGAAATTCTAGCCCGTGCACATAAGTCCAAAATTCGGGCAACGCACTGTTTGCGGATTTGAGTGCGCGCTCATTGAAAGCTTGTGCTTCAGTTGACGACCAACATCTTTTTTGCCGTTGCAAGTGTAACTGCGCCAAGAGTGTTTGCGCGTAAGCCAACTCCAACTGAAATGGTGTATGCTGCCGTTTTATATCGTCACTTGCTTCTGCGCGTTCGTAAGCATTTGCATTGAATTCGGTTAAGCGGGAATTGCAGATATCGCCTAGTGCTGTGGTCAAAGGCAGATTACGCAAGCGAAATAGTGTTCGAGTGCTTTGAGAGTTTTGTGAATTCTCCACAACAACATCTTCATTCATGGGCACGTCGCCGGTTGGTACGTTTGCACTCCGTATGCTCATTTCAAGACGTTGCGTCTCATCTGCATGTCGCATTTTAAGTACGGAGTACTCGACATTACGCAACTTTAATTCCGACTCCTTCGCTTCTACTCGTTTTGTTAGTTCAGCTATTTTGGTTTTGCACTCCGTTTTTGCTGCTTCTGCGCTCATAATTTTATCCATTTTGAGTGTTTGCAGCTGTTGTTTCATGTGGCGCAGCTCATCGCGTAACAGCGAAGACTAAAATAAATATGTTATTCATACATTAAAAAATGCGTAAAAGATTTGGAAGTTTACCTCTCCTTCTTTGCTTTCGATTTTAGCCTTTGATTCACTGAGATCCTTTGTTAGCTTCGTGTTTTCTGCTTTCAAAGCATCCAAGCGCTCCGTAAGCACTTTTACTTGCCGTTCTGTTGCGACTTGACGTCTCGCTGCTGCGTTTTGAGTTTCAGAGATTTGCCAATTCATACCATTTAAGGGAGTTACAGGTTTTTTGAAAACATTCTCTGCCCCGTAATTTTGGGCGTGGTTTGAGTTTTTCTCTTTACCATTTGTAGCTCCGTCTATTAGCTCAGCGAAGTCATCATCATCAGCAAATAATTCGGAAAGGTTGTGCTTTTCTATCGTCGGTGGTGCACTGTTTATAGCTTTCACTGCAACGCTTGTTGTTGTCATGCGTTGTGTGCTTGTTGTGGCATGAACATGTGGGGCAAACTCACTAAACGTAATATCGCTTTCAGTAAAATTTGCTGCACTCTTAATTGCCACTTGGGATTCGGCTACTTGAGTGGCAAGCAAGATAACGTCGTCATCGTCATCATCCCACAAGTTATTATTATTGACATTATTGCGTACTGGACTTTCGACTCGCCTCACGGCAGCACCATTTGATAGTATATGATTGGGCCAAGACTGACTAGGCCCCAAAGGACGACCTTTGTTTACACTTACATCCAATTTTGGTTTCTTCGTGCTACGCCCGAATTCCTTGAATGGCTGGAAGCGTTTGGCCATACTGACGAAATAAAAAAAAACTGTTCCTTTTCTGTTCAATATTTCTCAATTCATAACTCTTACGTGTTCGCATGTAAACGTTATTGAAAACTCTTAAATTTTAAGACAAAATTCTTCAACTTCTTACAAAACCCGGTAAAATGTGAGATCAAAAATGAATTAAAAATAACATTGTGCTGCCACCCTATATACGTGTATCTTTTAATTTTTATTTCGCCACGCCAAATTTTGCCTCTGTAAAATTTGTAGAGTTAGGAAAAGTCCGGCAACATATGTTTTTTTGATTTTACGTTTTGCTGACATTTGTCTCTATCAAACAAAATATTGGATCAAAACAAAAGTAGAGCGCACGTGGAATTGACCATTTCAGTAAAAGTTTTAATTACATGAAAATAAAGCATATTTAGCAAGTAAAATTATTTAGTTAAAATATGTCTGTGGAAAGTCAACGTCCTAGATTGTATATGGATGAACATAAGCTGAAGCAGGATCCGCATGATTACGGATTGGCTGACGAGCCTTTTAGTTTGGAAACATTTAAAAAAAAGTTTCAAATAGTTGTCGTCAAGTAAATAAAACACAATTTTGCTTATTTAATCGTTTTTTAAATATACCAATGTTTTAACAGGTACGATGGCAATGAAATGGAGTTCGACATGATTGGTGTACATCCAGGCATTGCAAATGCATTTCGACGTCTTATGCTCAGTGAAGTTCCAAGCATGGCTATTGAAAAGGTTTACATCTACAACAACACATCGATTATGCAGGATGAAGTATTAGCACATCGCCTTGGTCTTATACCATTGCGTGCTGATCCCCGTCGCTTCTTGTACAAAACAGAAGAGAGTGGTGATCAAGGAAACGAACACGATACAATTGAATTCGAATTGAAAGTTAAATGTACCAGACGCAAAGATGTAAAGGATTCCTCAAATTTTGACACAATCTATAAAAACCACAAAGTTTACTCCGGACAAATTAAATGGCTACCAAAGGGCAAGCAAGCGCAAATTTTCAGTGAAACAGATGTTGGCTGCATACATGATGACATACTAATAAATCAATTACGTCCGGGACATGAGCTGGACTTGCGTCTGTTGGCCGTAAAAGGTATTGGAAAGGATCATGCTAAGTTTTCACCAGTAGCGACTGCATTCTATAGATTATTGCCTGAAATAAAATTAAATCGGAAGGTAGAAGGCAAAGAGGCTTTTCTCTTACAAAAATGCTTCTCACCCGGTGTAATTGGCATTGATGAAAATGACTGTGCCTATGTAAAAGACGCACGTTATGACACATGTAGCCGTAACGTCTATAGGTATCCACAATTGGAAGATGCTGTAACAATGTCGCGAGTACGAGATCATTATATATTCAATGTTGAATCGGTAGGTGCACTTAAGCCCGATGTTATTTTTATCGAAGCAGTAAAAGTTCTTAAAGAAAAGTGCCGAAAGTTCTTAGAGGAAATCGAAGCCGCGTAAGAGATACCACTTACTTGGTATATCTTTAGAATATGTTTATCTGTTATAATAAAAAAAATCTATACTTTTGTTCAAAAAAAAATAATAATAAAAATAAACTTGTATTTACTTATTCAATATCTCCGTTGCTGGCGGTGTCTGAGGCTGTACAATGATTTTCTACCAGCCGGAAGCGAGAAAACATTCGTGATCAAGTCATTTGAGTTGATTTACCAAGCCCTTATAGCCTAGGAAGTATCTTCACAGACCGAACATTTTTTTTAAATTTGAAAGAAAAGTTGATGTAGATGTCTCCTTGTTCATCAATTTTCATATATGCATACACTTGGCAGCCCTGTTGTTAAGAGGGAATTGTTTTTATTTTGGCAGTAGTGTCAAACCATACACATATGTGGGTGTGTGTATGTAAACAAATGCAAAGATCCTTCAATTATAAAAAATATAAAGAGAAAACTTATTGTTTTAAAAAATTATCAAACTATTGCAGAGTAATTATTCAAGAAATTGACGAAACAATACATAAAGTGCAGACTAAGGATGTCAAATAGTAACAATAACAGTATGTACAAATTGCTGGCAGATCAATAATTATTGAACTATTTGCAGATAAAGAAATAGCTTCATCATCACTACCAACAGCACCAGAATCCATTAATGAAGTAGCATCAGGTGGATATAATTATGTGAGTATCAACTCAAAATATGACATAATTTTTATGAATAAATTATGTATTATTAGCGCCCACCACCACCATCTTATGAAGAAAGTCAAAGGATGTATACTTCGTCTGCTGCAAATGTAGCACCAAAGCAAATGTCGTCCAATTCATATATGCCATCATATGCTACTAACAATTCGCCACACCAAATACCGACAACCAACTACATACAAAATTACGCAGCATCGCCGCCACCACCACCACAATACTATCAGCACCACTATGTCAGCGCAACTTGTCCACCAACATTTAGTGTTCCAAATGAGCCACATGTATTATCCTTGGCTCCAGGTGCAAAAATACGCACAACATCTGCAGGAGCAGTAAGCATACCCCCACCTCCACCAGGCTGTGCTCCAACAGCGGCACAATATGCACTTATGCAGGGTCAGCCCGTTCTAGTAAAGAAAACGAAGCGTTCGTTTTTCTAAATTATAGAAAGCGCTCACATACTAATTTTAGGCAGAGGACAAAGCGTGGTATACTTCTGAGCGAATATATGAGAGATGTCTAGTTTGCGTTTACACTAAAACTGAAGGCTTTAATACGATTAATAGTTTGTGTTCTTATATATCTGTATATGTGCATATGCTACGTGTTTTCTCAAATAAAGAAATGATTTGTTTTTCTTCTTGTTCTCAAATATCTTTTGAAATTTATTTTATTCGCAAACATATTTGCGTATCAATTTCAATTTTACATAAATAAAGTTACAAAAAGGTATGGGAGGTTACTAAAATGTAAATTAATTCAACATACACGTATATGTATCTACTCGAAGATATTTTCAAAATATGTACTGTCGAATGTTTGCACACGCACGAAACCATCCTCACCACCTGAAGCGTAACTTTTGCCATCCGGATGGAAAGCCAAACTGTTTATGGGACCGAAATGGCCCTTTAGTCGAGCGAATTCTTCCTCGTAAATTAGGTGGAAGAAACGAGAATCAAATTTACCGGCTTTAGTTGATGTGGTTGTCACCTCCATAGCATCTTGACCACCGCCCAAAACAACATGATCCATAATGGGACTAATTGAAGCGGAATTAACAGGTCTTTCGGTTTTGTATGTCTTGAGACACATCAGAGATTCAGAATCAAAAAGTTTCGCTGATGTATCTTTGGAGGCAGTTACAAACATCGTGCCATCTTTATTCATTTGCATATCATTTATACCAGCTGTGTGGTCATTTACAGAATTGATTTCACGACCACCTTTGCGTATATCCCAAATTGAAATTTGTCCATTATCGTGACCTACACGAAAAATAAAATATGTAACATTTCAATTAATATAATTAAATTGTGCACGTACCAGTAATTATGGTTTCATCTAGAGGTCCCCACAACATAGAAGTAATTTTCGATGGTACCATAGGTATACGCAAAATAGGATTTTGTTCTGCTATGCTCGAATCTGCTGTACGTACATCGATAATGAATAACTCACAATTCTGTCCCATAGCTTTGTCTGTAGAGTAAGCAGCTTGATTGCCAGAATAACTAAAATTACATGTTCGCACAGAAGACTTGGCTGGGATCGAAGCGATAACAGTACCCTGTTCGACATCCCAAATTTTTGTGGTCATATCACCCGCTCCAGAAATAAGTTTTGATGTAGTCCAATCAACGTCCAAACACCAAACTGCTCCTTGATGTCCGTCGTATGTACCCAAACGTTCGCCATTTAATGAATACCAGACGTTTGGTTTTTGATCCTTTGAGCTTGAGAACAACAAGTCACCTTCACGATTGAACTTAATTTGCGTTATAGAACGCTCATGTCCTTGCAGCATTAAGGGTCGCTGAAATAATAGTGAAATTATTATAAATTGGTTTAAGCTAAATTGTGGCAGTCGATGAGCAACCAAACATGTTTTTAGGTTATGTGTGTCATTAACTTATTTTCCCACAACATGAAAATATTAATAAATTTCACGGCTAAATAACATATGCTGATTGCACATAGCACTCCTGTCGACTATTATATGATATAAATACCATTTTACACTGTTGTTAATGTGTTTTTGAATAAATATATAATTATTTTAATGCCGTGAAGAGCGACTGAAATGTCAAAAAGAAGCTTCGTGTGCAGCGACAGTGCTGACAACATAATTATGACGTTTCAAGTGCACCCCAAACAGATCAGTGATGCCAAGGTTCCGAAATTTCAAAAAGTATTTGACCCAAATTTATTCACAGAAAACCCATGAAGGGTTTTTTTAAATTCACTAGAACAATAATTGTATATCCCAACTAACGTAATAATATATAGGAGATAGTTTTTGAGTTAGTTTATTACGTAGTACGTAATCACAATATACACAAATTAAAAATCAACATTTTGCATTAACAATACTAGGCAGCAGAAACGAATCGTACTTTTATATTAATTCCATATTTTATCCGAACCAAGATTTTTTGTTCAAATTATTCCATTTGGCAATGTTAACTAATATCGAACTAATACATTGGTCCTTATCGCGATTCTGACCATAATAATCCACAAACTCGCCATCCGGATTTACAAGATACATGATGATGGTGTGATCAACCTAGGAATCAAATAAATATAAATTAATGAAATGCAAATAAATTAAATCACATTTATAGCAATACAATATAATCATTGTCAACATCGCGTGGTCCAGCGCTGAAGTAAACTCGGAAAGCTTTGCAAACATTACGTATTTGTTCCACTGTGCCGGTGAGGCCTAGTAACTTTGGAGAGAATTCTTTTACATATTTGCCAACAATTTCTTTGGAGTCGCGCTCAGGATCGACTGTTATGAAAATTGGTTGGATTTCAGGAGTCTCCGGAGATATTTCTAGAAGACACAAGTAATTCCTTCAGTCAATATATGAGAAATAAGGAATACTTTACCTATTGCATCCACAACAGCAGCCATTTTTTCCAACTCATCTGGGCATATATCCGGACAATGAGTAAATCCAAAGTAAATTAGCAACCATTTGCCTAGAAAATCCTCAGACTTTCGTACCTTTCCTTCCGAGTCAATAAGCTCCCAGCGTCCACCTATTGCCGCTTTCCCTAATTGCCGTTTACGTTCACGCATAATAGCATCTTCCTTCTCCTTTTTAACATATAACATGAAACCTAAACCGACGGCACAAACACCACCGGTAAGCGCAAGACCCTTCCATGAAATGGGACCCTTTCCTTTGGTTGGGTCTGTAGCGGCACATCGTCTCTGCAGTTGATTAACCATAGAATTTTTGGGAAAAGCTTGTGTGCGTAACAAAAAACTTTTATTGCAATGTGCAATAAATCGTTGTAAACTGCGCGACATTATATGTTTCTTTTTTTTATTCAAAACAATTACTGAATTACTAAAAAGAATTATTGTTACAGCTGTGCGGCTTTTTACGTAAAACGAATGCGAAACTGAGAACTAGCACGCACAAAAGTGAACAGCTGATTAATAGGAAATATTATTGCCAGTTGCAAAAAAAAGTATAACAAGTAATTTATTTGATTCTTTAGTTTTAAATGCCTCATTGCATAAAAAGACATATAAAATCAATCTCAATCAAAGCAAAATTTTTCAACATATCGCTGACTTCCGCCTACAGTCCGACGTAAGAGAAAGATAATATGACCAGGAATGCCTTTTATGAACGCCTGAAGCTCTTATAAGTATTGCCTCCGATGCGACTTCAACGTCAGTATAAGAAAAGATGGACCCGAAATATGGTTGTCTCCAGTACTAGATTCACAACCATATCGATCCGAGGACCACTATCTTAAAGCACCAAACTTGAGGATAGTTCGATGCCGAAAAGCTGCAATGACAACAGAAAGCCTAATGATTCTATCTACTCAACTTGCATTCCTGTTCGCTGACAGCATTCATCCCCAGCTCTTGTAGAATTCAGAGCAAACTCAGTTATCGTCATAGATGAGTATGATTGAACCTTATCAGATATTCACTGTTCGTCGAATCGTGGGAAAGACCTCTGAAAGGAGGATCGATATGCATCTTTTTCTTATGACTTCTTTAATGTATTGGTGGAAAAATATATTCAAGCTTCAAAACTGAGTAGAGGAGTCACAACTTCTAACATATGTATGAGAGTGCAACAACGCTGGCGCTCGCTTTCTTCAAACTGGATAATGAAGCGAAACGTGTGGGTCTGGTAGTGATCGAGGACAAGACAAAATATATCCTCACATCAAACAAACAATAATCGCATTCGCAACGTCACTGATGACAATAATAACATTGAAATCGTAGGGACCAGCAATAACCAACAGTGATTATCCTGTGATCCAGATAAAAAATACTCGGTGCAGTATCCGCTGGTGGAAGCAGCGAAAGAAGGAGACCACTTCTCCGTTACAAAATACAAGGAGAAGAAGGACCTGGCTGCACTTGGTATCTCCAATCGGCGATAAACAGCGAAAGGAAGGACTGAATGGTGCCCTGTCGGTTACTCGGCTATAATCGGGAAAGCATGTTCAACTCAAATAGAGAAGAAGAATCGTTGAGTTAGAAGAATATCAGCTAACAAATTGACTTACTTAAAGGATTGGCAGAAATATCGATTTCTTAACAACGTCTGTTGTAAATTTATTTTTTCTTTTAAACTTATTATGCATTTATGTTTTATCAATATGGTATGAAGTGTATGTATATAACTGTGTGATATTTTATTAGTTTATATTTATTGTTAAAAGGCATTAGTCCAACATCAACTCTTTGATTATTGAGACTGGATGATATTTTTCACATTTTCCTTAATACAAATTAAACCCTGGGAAATGCATGTATACCTTGTTCAGACCGACATCGAAAACTCTTTAAAAACGAGTTTTGTGGGTTTTGGGATAAAGGTTATTTCCCACTGACTTTCGGTGCTTTTCTTGACATATCTGACAGCTTTTGTTTACATTTATATTATAAGGAAACTGAAACAAGGTAAGTTACCGCACTAAATTGAATTGAATAAACTTTAAACAAAACCCTAATTAACAGTATTACGACAAGAAAACGAGAGTAATAAAAACGTTGGCATTAGGAAATCAATCCAGATTGGTCAAAGTTCGAAATATTGGAAGTAAGAACTTGCAAGAAAAATTAAAAAGCTTAGAAAACCATTCTTCAGATTTGAATATGGGTCTCGTGTTTCCAATAGTTTAGTGCTGGACAAAAGTGAAATATCTTTTACCGATGCAGTAATTCAGAGGAAATGAATTGTCAAAAAATGACTATAATTCTATAAAAAAAATTTTTGTTTAGACCGAAGTTTATTTCTGGAGCTGTGTGAAATCCAAGGCTTGTTGATACTGTAGAGACTTATAGGAAATTTTAATAAACAAATATTGGTTTTATTAATAAGCGTTTGAACAAAGCAAGTAAGAAACAATCCATAATTTGTCCATTAAATTGATTAGTTTATTTGCCATGTCTACAATTATCCGATTTATGTCAAATATAGCTCTTTCATTAAAACCCTTTCCTTATTGGCAAAACATTTTCTCCAACGAAATCATTCACCATAGACAGGAACAGATGTTAATCTGCGAGGCCCAGACTATAAAGTGGATGCTTGAGAACCTTCTGACCGAATTCTCGCAGCTTCTGGGGAGTCATTATCAATGTGTGGATGATTGTTTTCTTCAGATGGTCCAAATGTTAACAGTACAAGTCCTTAAGAAAGAGTTGGATCACTTCTGGCCGTCAAACTTAGGTTGGAGACTCTTTATGTCGGCTCATGGCCCATCGACCATGACTTTTTTCGTTTGACGTTGACCAATCACCATCCGCTAGAGAAATTGGTCTTTTTTGTTACGATTCAGCAGCGATTCACAGGTGAAAATTCGGACCATAAGGTTTTTTTCCCGTTAAACCATATGTCGAGCTTCTTTGTGTAGCCAAGTGGTATTCTGTGCAATGCTTAGCTCCTGGGTATTAGAAACAGTGCCAGCATGACGGCCAGACTCGACGATTTCCCTTATTTTATCAACGGCGCGAGATACAGAGCAGTAAAGCCACCTATTGCAAAAGTAATGGATTCCTTTTTACCAGACCTTGTACAATATAACTAATTAAGGTCAGGAACGTTTTGCTGCATGCTCTTCACACATATTTTCCACGAAATTTCAAACACTTACAAAGGTAATGCTGTTTGGCCCTTGAACTTAGTATGCGTTTCTGGGCTATCAAAAAGTTTTCTAAAAATGAGCAATCTCGCCTTGAGAGCAGAAAATACGATTAACCCGCTTAGGGCTTTAAAACAGTATGATTTCTCTCAGCGTAGATGGGTTAGAATATATCGTAAGTCCCTGCATATGTTGCTTAAACGTCCCGACGTACATATACTACCAATTGTAGGTGAAGCTCGGCCGGAAGTCACTTCAGCCGTTAAAAAGTTCCAACTATATACTTACATATGTTGAAAGCATTGAATGCATGTATTCTCTTGCTGGAGAATTGTATTGTTTGTGAGACTGCAAAATTTATTTGTGCTTCCAAGTTCAATTAAATATAAATTCATACTCAAAGCTTATTTATAGAAGATGAAATTGTCACATCATATGCTTGCTTGTCCTTTCATCCATTTCAAAACATTACACAAACAAAATATATAGAAAAGAGGTTTTGGCATTTCGAGCGTTCGTTTACACAAACAAAATACATTGAACGAATTTAGATTTTGACTTTTCGAAAATAAATAGCCTTTTTGTTATTGCATTCTTGCTACTACCGTGCTTGAATGTGCCTTGTATATACTTCTTCTTCGGAAGGACAGAATATGTCACCCCCTTCGATAAAAATCCCTTCGATAAAAATATCAAGTAAACTAATGCAGACACCGATTGAATTGAGTGGAATGAGAGTTATCAAATAGTATTCAGCGTCAACTAATATTCGAAGGGTTTTCGTTCGACAGATTTTGGAAATTTGTATTTGATGTCGGTCCAGAAAAAATATATTGGGTTGCCCAAAAAGTAATTGCGGATTTTTCATATAGTCGGCGTTGACAAATTTCAATTTTAATATGGAGCCCACAAAGGAGCATTTTCGTCATATTTTACTTTATTATTTCCGTAAAGGAAAAAACGCGGAGCAGGTTGCTAAAAAGTTACGAGATATGTATGGTGATGAAGCCTTAAAAGGAAGAGAGTGTCAAAATTTGTTTCGCAAATTCCGTTCTGGAGATTTTTCACTTAAAGATGAGCCACGTTCAGGTCGGCCAAATGAAGTTGATGATGACCAAATCAAAGCAGTAATCGAATTGGATCGTCATGTAACTGGACTGGTGAAAAAGCTTGATATTTGGGTACCACATGTATTGAAAGAAATTCATTTAACACACCGAATCAACGCTTGTGATATGCACCCTAAACGCAATGAATTCGATCCGTTTTTAAAACGAATCATAACTGGAGATGAAAAATGGATTGTTTACAACAACGTTAGTCGAAAACGATGATGGTCCAAGCATGGTGAACCAGCTCAAACCACTTCAAAGGCTGATATCCACCAAAAGAAGGTTATGCTGTCTGTTTGGTGGGATTGGAAGGGTGTGGTATATTTTGAGCTGCTTCCAAGGAGCCAAACGATTAATTCGGATGTTTACTGTCAACAATTGGACAAATTGAATACAGCCATCAAGGAGAAGCGACCAGAATTGGTCAATCGTAAAGGTGTCATATTCCACCAGGACAACGCTAGACCGCACACATCTTTGGTCACTCGCCAAAAACTGAGTGAGCTTGGCTGGGAACTTTTGATGCCTCCACCATATAGCCCTGACCTTGCACCATCAGACTACCGTTTATTTCGATCTTTGCAGAATTCCTTAAATGGTAAAACTTTCGGCAATGATGGGGCTATAAAATCGCACTTGGTTCAGTTTTTTGCAGATAAAGGCCAGAAGTTCTATGAGCGTGGAATACTAAATTTGCCAGGACGATGGCAAAAGGTTATCGAACAAAATGGCAATTATATATTTGATTAAAGTTCATTCTAAGTTTTATTAAAAATACATTTACTTTCTTTTAAAAAATCCGCAATTACTTTTTGGGCAACCCAATAATATTAGTTCTGTTGCGTGCCGTTAAATTTTATTTAGAAGACACGCAATTTTCACATACTTTATACAAACTCAAATTCAAATTTTCAATATTTTTTTTAATACAATAATAGACATGTTTTTGTGCGAGTTCTGATGCTTGTATGTTTTTAAACGCTAAATTACAAATCTTAGTTTTTAGATTCATGCAAATTAATGCAACTTTTTGAATAAAATAAGGAAATAAGTTACAAAATATATTTTATATAAAAATAGTTTTCAATGAAATCGGATTGCAAGCTAAGTTTTTCTATTTCTAATCTTCAGTGGTTTTTAATTATTTTTGTCAAACCGCCAGCGGTGGTACTGAGTAGATTTTTAGTTGTTTTGCAGTTGTTCCTCAATTCAAAACTGTGTTTTATATGTATGATGCACATGTGGATATATGTATTAGGTATGTTCATAGACTCTGCTCTCGAAGATAGTGGAGATATTAAAGTTAGGTTAATTGAGAATTTCTAAAAGCAGAAAGTAGAGTAAATAAGGTATAAGAAATATTAAATTATAGTACATGCATAGTAAATGTATATTTGTATTTTAACTTACATCAATTATTTAACATTAATTTCCTTAAAACTTTTTTGGAAACGGATTTTTGTGCGACGCTTTTTTGATATTTTTATCACTTAAAAATTATAATTTTTCTTACTTTTTAATAGGAAAATATATTTTTAAACATTGTTTTCAAATTGTCTTTCATGTACTTAAATATTAGATTAAAATAAAATTAGGAAGCAAAATCGCTTGTGACTCTCTACCGGTCACGATGGCCGAGTCGTTAGCAGCGCGTTTTGCCATTCGGTAGCCTAGTTTTCGAGTACTAGTTCGGCCAACATCCAAAAACGATACGAAAGGGAATGTCAACCCATTCGAGTGTATTTCTGGCATGAAAAAAAAGCTCCTCATAATAAACAGTCTGCCGTTCGGAGGCGGCTTAGTATAAACTGTAAGTCCCTCCAATCAATGAAGCTCCTAACAGATATTTAACTTCTAGTGGAGGTACGGAAAAACCTTTTTAAGCTAAATTCATATTTTCTTTCGATAAAATAAATAATACTGAGGTGTTACGGAATTTGTGCTTTAGGTCCCGGCCTGAACCGAGTGCCGGTGAGGCCTAGTAACTTTGGAGAGAATTCTTTTACATATTTGCCAACAATCTCTTTGGAGTCGCGCTCAGGATCGACTGTTATGAAAATTGGTTGGATTTCAGGAGTCTCCGGAGATTTTTCTAGAAGACACAAGTAATTCCTTCAGTCAGCATATGACAAATAAAGAATACTTTACCTATCGCATCCACAACGGCAGCCATTTTTTCCAACTCATCTGGGCATATATCCGGACAATGAGTAAATCCAAAGTATATTAGCAACCATTTGCCTAGAAAATCCTCAGACTTTCGTACCTTTCCTTCCGAGTCGGCAAGCTCCCAGCGTCCACCTATTGCCGCTTTCCCTAATTGCCGTTTACGTTCACGCATAATAGCATCTTCCTTTTCCTTTTTAACATATAACATGAAACCTAAACCGACGGCACAAACACCACCGGTAAGCGCAAAGATCGAGTATCTAGCAAAGATCTTTTATTTAAAAAAAAAAGTACTGCACGACTGAAAAGGGACCGCCAGTCTTATATATGAACCAAGAAATATTGTTTACCAACTGTGATTTAAGAGCAGCTGCTTGGAGTACTCTCTAAATTGAGAATTCAACTGACTGAAAGATGTACTTAGAGTAAGGTGATGGAAAGCTCTATAACAAATTATCCACACCTAAACGGTCAGTACAGTTATATGACCAAAAACGCTATGCTCAGTACCGTCGTTAACTTGTACGTGAGAAAGAGTATAAGAGTTTGAAGTAAGAAAGCTAAACACAGTCAGCATAGAAGCAAGTCTTATGGTGGTCCCCTGTGTGGTTGTTCGGGGGTCAGAGCTGGTCTTGCAATTAATCCCAGTAAAGTAGAGATTGTCTTATCCATCAGTAGGTATAGAATCCCGGTAGCGGTTCCCACCTCGGCTTTTGCCTTGGATTGCATAAGAATGTAAAGTACTTTGGGATATTCCTAGACAATAAATTGACTATTGAGATTTATTAATCGATGGCGAGTTCAAGCTTCCAGACAATTGTCAATCGGCTATTACGGTTTTTCGGTTCACTCCAAAATTGTGAATTCTGCTTTTCATCACTGTCTGTAGCGCCGAATTATTTCAAAATTGAAATCATACGGCTACTATTCGGTCTTAGCGGAATTTCTGTAAACTCAAATGCTAATGAGCTTGCACATATCGGTATTACCGCTTCGTTAAGGCCGTACAAAGAGTAAATGTGTTAACATCCGGTCTGCTTATGGACAGGTGGGCTTTGGGCTACCACTTTAAGATGTGCGATTTTGAAATCATTCTGGCGTAAGGTGAACCGTGTAAGATCGGGGAAGCTCCGGGAAATCAAGCGATAATGCTTGGAATTTTCCTGAACTTCCACCGCCGTAGTTGTTTTGTAGCGATTCGCTACAGAAAAGCTTTCTAGGGCTTGGATATTTCCAATCATTGTAGGGTCATAACGAACGTGTCTTATGTGTCTACATATGTATGTGGGATCACTTGAGATTAGCCACTTCTACCAAAACTCACATAACGAACCTAAACGCTGATTTTTTCTTTTTACAAGCAGACTGACCAAACCTCGGCTTAAAATGATACAGCAAGGATTTTTGATTTCGGCAGCTTCGCTCTTCACCTGTTCAAAAGTCTGCTGAATTGCATTAGGACGACATAACCGTGATTAAATATATTTATTTATTTCCAGTTAATCTTTCTTCTACCCGCTTTTGCAGTGCAGTGTGAAAGGCATGAATGAGCCGTTAGAACACCTCTTCTGTTTTTGTCCGACCTGAGCTAGAACCAACAGCTCTATGTAAGCCAATCAGTATAACCTAACTTTTCTTGTCTGTAGACATTTTAAGAAGAAAAATATAAGAAATTCAATCAATACAAGAGGTTTTTTTTTGTTTTTTTTTTTTAATCTTAAATCAATTATACTTAATATATTTTTCAATTTGTATTTGTATTTGTTTTTGTTTTTGTTTTTACAATTTAAAAATTCTCATATTTTTTAATATTGTATATATTTGTATATATATATTATATAATTTTATATATATATATATATGTTTGTATGCATGTTTGCTGGTATGTATGTCGTGTGTGTGTCATTATTTATATATGTATGCATGTATATTGTTTAGTTAATATATAATTATGAAATTAATATTTTCTTTATGTATCTATGTATACATACTTACAGAAATGAATATGACATTTACATACACATACATATGTATATATATATATATATTATATATATATGTATATACATATATATGAGTTTATGTATAAAAATGTATGTATGTATGTATGTATGTATGTAACAATGTATAGTAGATGTTTAAATTAAAAACGGATTAAATTCTTTTTAAACTAAAATATATATAGACAGTCAGTACTATATATGTATGTATTTATGTATATAATTTTAAAATATATTTATGTAACATATATGTATATAAAGCAAATAACTTAATTTTCACTGCACACATCATTTATGCATTTCTTAACCCATCGGCTCATTATTAGTTCTTTTCATTATTTATTTACTTAAGTCGTTTCTGCTATAAGGCTAAGATAAATTAGCTCAATATACATAGCAGTATGCTTGTTTGTATGTGAGTATGTGTGTTTGCCACGCCAATTACTGTTGCAGTATGCTCTGCTCTCTTTATGGGTAATTTAATTTTTGCATATTTCTTTGTTAATAATTTTTTCGTTTTTTCTATTATTTTTTGTATATTAATTTTTGCATTTCACCATAATCTTAATTCAACTACTATTTTCATTATATATATATATATGTATATTTTTTTTGTTTGTGTGTATGTGTATGAATGCATATTATTTTATGTATATATGCATGTATGTATGTATGTTTTTAGTTATGACAGCATGTTTTTTGTTCATTATATTTATTTTATTAATTATAATTTGTTTATAGCTACTTAGTATATGGTGAGTGTGTATGTATGTATATATGTGAGAAGGTGTTTATTGGTTATATTTTTAACTCTGTAGTAATGCATGTTTTAGGTTGTTGTTGTTTTTTTTTTCTTTCAATGTATGATTATATTTTTTATCTTATTTAAGACTTGAAGTTTAAATTTAATATTGCAAATCATGCTGAGTTTTAGTTATAGTTAGTTTTATTATTTTTTTTTTTTGTATTTCCTTCCATATTTTTACTTTGTTAATAGTTTTTTTTTTCTTATAAAATATGTATGTATGCATTTATAAATCACACAAATACGCTTTTTATTTTTAGTTTAATAATTTGTGTTTTTTTGCGACATTCCGTTGTCGTTTTGAATAACCGGCAAATAAAGGTTCAGTTGGGGTTTTGCGTTTTTGTGTTTTTTTATTTGTAAATTGCTCATAACTATAAGGCAGAGACGGTCGAAATTTTTTTGATGACTGGCAAAAAGTTGGAAATAAAACCAAGCACACAATATTGCGGTCATTTTTTGCTTCGAAATATCTGTCAGGAAATTAAAATATTTAAACAATGCTCTTATTTCGACCGTTACTGTAATCTGGTGTGTTCATTTAATTGCGCCAACGTTACAAAAATTTATAAATTTGTGAAAAAATCAAATATTTTTGTATGCATACAGTAAACAATAAGAGGATCAAATTTACTTAACAAGATTGTAAACAACAGTGTTATACCAATTGTTTTCGTATATGAAATATTTTAAGATATTCGGCTTGGCTAATGACTACAACAAAAAAACAACCGCAAATTATTTCGAAAATTGTATGATTCCGTAGAAACGCCAGCGTTTCTTTGGAATGACTTTATGTATGTGTGTATAAGGCATAAAAGAATCAGTGAAATAAAAAAAGGGTGCGAATTTAAAATAATTTGGCAAATGTATGCTTTTCAACCAGAACATAACCTCACATCAACATTTTGGGTTTGTTTTTTTACATGTATGTATGTGTGTATATAAATTATGTAATTTTGTTTTCGACTTCTCGCTTAATATTATTGAGTTGTTTGACAATCATATCTATTTATTTTAATTATTTTTATTTTTTTATTTTTTTTTTGACTTTCTTTCGGCAAACTTATTTTTAGCATGTCTAATTTTATATTTCTATGTATGTATGTAAGTAAGTATGCATGTCATTTTATTGTTCATAAAGTTTATAATTGAAAGCTTATCTTAAACATTTTTAAATTTGTGCAAAAGTTTTTTGTTCTTATTTCCTCAAGTCCTACAGACATCTTACTTGTTTTTTCTTTTTTCTTTTGTTTTGAAGGAAATAAATGTGTTAAAAAAAATAATGTCAGCGAGAATATTCCAAATAAATGTTATACAAAAGAAAACCTTGCCTGAAGTTTTAAAATTGCTAAAAGCTTTCATATAATATGAGCAATATGTGTTTACAAAATGAAAGCCTTGAGATAGTGAAATGCTCACTTGAAAGCTTTCATACTTATTAAAAAAAAAAAACCTTTTTAAGGCAAACTTTTTTATATGCATAAGTATTTCAGAAATCATTTATACGAATAAAACACAAGAGAGCTTTTTACTGATTGAAAGAAAAATTGAAAATATTTAAAATTTTAATAATATACATACTTTACGCAAACAGTATATTTTGTTGTAAAAACACTTTTTAAAATATTTGAAGTTTTTCTAAAAGCTTTCATTTTTAATTAAAAAAACTTTTTAGGTCAAATTTAATTATATGCAAAAGTATTTCAAAAATCTCTTTACTGAGTACAAACAAATAAATAATTAAAGAACTTTTTAAGATTGGAAAAAGAGAAACAAATCGAGCATAAAGCTTTGAAATAACGAAAAGCTCCTTGGAAAGCTTGCATAATTTTATATAATATGAGAAACTGTTTTATTTATTTCATCATTTATTAATATTTATTCAATCATTTAAATAAAGCACAGAAAAGCTTTTTACTGTGTTGACATAAATAAATAATTAAAAATCCAAATAAACACAAAAAGTATGCTTCCACATTGGAAGAATATAGAATGTTTAGTACAAAGCTTTTAAGAAAATTCAGTTATTTGGAACTCTTGCAATTTAATATATAATATTGATGCTAGAATTATAGCAGCTACCAAATGCACTTATTAAAAAAAGATTAATAAAAAAGCTTTCTACATACCATGAGTGGAAATAAGTTTCGGAAAACTGATTGAAAATTTTGTATGGATTACAATAAAAAAAAATAATTTAATTTAAACAAACTCTATACTTTTGGAAGTCAACATAGCTTTATTTCATATTTACTGCGAAATATATATGTATATTGGTACGTGTGATTTTACACATGTATATATGTACTATGTACATCTGATAGTTTATGTGAGGGAGCTTTTTTTTTGGCGAGTATGTAAGCTTAATGCGTATTTCTGGTATGGAATTTAATGAATTTTTCGCTTTTAAAATATCGAATGCGTGAAATTCACATTGATTACTTATTATTAGTACAGCTAAATGGTTTAAGAGTTGTAATTTTTTTTTTTATTTTTTTTTTTTGTAAACTTCTACTGATTGCGATTAAATCGTCTGTATACTATATACATTTATTTAAGTTGTCTACATGAATTTGCTTGCGAATTTTCCATCATATATTTATGTGTATATGTAATTACTATAAGCCTAGGGAGTTATTACAACTCATATAAATGACAATACATTTTACAAAGCAGAGCTGTAAAAGCCAAGTATCAAAAACAGCTTTCTAATACTTATACAAGTTCTGTTTTACATATGTAAGTGTTAGTTTTGTTTTTTTTTTCTTTTCAAGTATTAACACACGTCGTTATTAAATGCCGCAATTTTCATAACTCATTTATATTTTACTTTTAATTTATGCCTTCTTTACAGCGAAAGCTTTTATGCTTCTTCACGTTTATTTTTATTTTTTTCTATTTAAAAGTGAAGAAAACGCCCCTTATAGTTTTGTATCAATATGCATGCTAAATCGAGACGTGTATGTCTTTAGGACGGGGGTTTTGGCGGAAAATACAAATACAAATAATGATGATGAGCAGCTTTTCACGCTAATTATACATAATTTGTTTTTTTCTTTTTCTTTTTAATTTACTTCTTTTCCACTACAAATGTATTATATTTCTACGCACATGAAGTTATTTATATATGTATGTTTGCAAATTTGAAAAAAAAAGTGCGAATGATATACTCAATTGCATAAATATTTTGAACTGATGGCAAAGCATATTTAGCTGGAAAGTATGCGAAAGCTTTCGTAGATAATGGACATTTTTTTGGAGTAAATAATACTGAATTCCAAAAAGCTAATGAAACGTGAATTATGAATATTACAACGTTAATCGTATAAACTCGCGTATACCTAATTGAGTGAATTGGAAAATGGTCTCGTTTATGCAACATTTAGATAGTTATTAATAACAGAACTTTGGAATCAACTTTCGTGCTTCGGTTGGAATCATGAAATGGCATTTATGCGTTCAAATTCGTGAAACCACTTAGAAAAGCTCTCAGCAAATTAATAGAACGAAGTAAAAGACTTTATAAATGTACGAAATCAAGAATAAATCAAAATCAACAATGTAAAAGTGGTGCAATGAACTTACAAGAAAGCGCAAAGTATCAAAATTAAAAAAAAAATGTTATTTCATAAAAAGATCTGCTCAAAATTTTAACAAACCAAAAGTGTGCATAAATAATTCAGCAACAAAAGAGAAGAATATTATTTTTTTTTCAAAACCGCTGTGAACTTTCACTATCGCTCGCTAAAATTGGTACGTAAGCTACCCCCAAAACCCCATTGGAGAAAGCGTATTAAAGAAATCAAACAAAGTGGTTCTTGTAAACTACATATACAGTATATATTTAATGTTTATTCATACACTTAATATATTCATGTGTTGAGTATATCATTCGTTTAACGCTTGCGTATGCAAATCCTTTCTAGCGCTATTACTAATAAGACATGGACAACTACTATGTACACATGTCATTATGAATGCTCTTTAATTTAAATTTAATTTTTTGCATTTTTGTTTTTGTTTATTTATTTAATTTTTTTTTAGAAAAGTTTTATTATTTATTTATTTATTATTTGTATATATATATATAATAGCAATTTTCTTGTTTGTTGTTGTTGTATGTATGTATGTTTGTATGCTGTAGAAATGCATCTTAATTCATATTTTCATAATAATAAATGTATGATATATGTATGTATATATTTTCTTTTTTTTTACTTCTGTTTAATTATTTTTATTTTGAATTTTTTTTTGTTAATTTAAACCAACTACAGCTCTACTTGCACTACTACTCTTCTTCAAACGTTCATCAACTGGTATTTTTCTTGCTTGTTATTCGACATAGAACTACATCTCCGTCCTTCCAACTAAGATCTATTTTTGTATTTGCATTGCCAACAGCATGGTAATTTATCTCAGCTTTTCAACTCCTCGTCCTCCATCCAATCCAGCGCTTTCATCAACGGTCATGGTTATTAAAAAAAAAGAGCTAACAAATCGTATTTCATTTCACTCACCACCCACCCAGCATTATTGGTTGTCTATGTTATTTAACTAGCCGGTTGTTTAGGTGGTGATAATGATGATGATGATGATGGTGGTGGTGGTGGTGGTGTTGATATCGTTTTCTTTTTCTTTTTATTGTTGATTTCTCTTAGCTGAAAAGCAATCCATACTTAAACAAACACCTTAGCCAAGCCATCCGCTCCAGCGCTAGCAATGTATGGCTTAGTAGCATGGAACGCCACATCAAATATGCTCTCATCGAATTTCTTACGATGCGCTGTGATCTCTTGCACGCATGTCTTATTGTCCAAATTCCAAAGTCGTATCGAGCAATCGTGTGAGCCCGACAACAAATACAGACCATGCGCGTCGACAGCCAGTGATGTGACCGGCTCCAAATGTGCCACCATTGAGTGTATTAACGTCCCCGAAACGTTATCCCAGAAGCGTATGTGACGATCCTCGTGCGCAGTGATTGTTATAGGCAGCGTCGGATGCGATACCACTTTATTGATAAATTTCCCCGTATTGCCAGACATCTCCTGAGTAGCCTCCAATTTGACCACCTGTTTGCCGGTTTCCGTATCGTAAACAATACAATGAGCGCTATTATACGCCACCACAATGTGATCCACTTCATTGCGCACAAAATCAACAGACGATGGTGTGCCCTCAGCCTCGGAAGCAGTGTAGGTGCGCAATAGCGGTTCCTTGGTGTACGGCGACCAGAGTTTAACGGTGCCATCAGCTGAACATGACACAATATTGCTATGCATCGTGGTCAAACCCCACACAGCGTCTGTGTGTCCTTCAAGTGTGCCTGAATGCACGCTCGGATCGTAACAATCGTATGGATCGATGTTTGGCGATGGTAGCTGCCAGCATTCAATATTACCATCCAAACCGCCCGAATAGCAAACATCACCGGTGGTGGACATGCCGAGACACAGTACGGGGCCGGTGTGCGCTCTGAATGTGTATAATGGTTCGACATCGAGACTAGCTGACTTTTTGGCTTGTACCGTCTTCTGTAAATTCCACAATTTCAGTGTGTGATCTTCAGATGCAGTAATCAGCACCGGCTCTTCTGGGTGGAAAATCAATGAGCGTACACCATCGAAATGAGAACGCAGCGTATATTTGGCGTTCCAAGTTTTACGGTAGCTGCCAGTACCGCCGCCAGTGCCATCCTTAGCGTTCGCATCATACGAACTCTCCGCCTCGTTGTTCACCGTCAGTTGTGCGAGCTCACCAAGACCGAGCGAAGCGTCAACCTCCTCATCGCCACCGGCTGTGACAGCGGTAATAAGATTACGTCGGGCCGCGGCTGAGGCAGCTGCATTATTAGCAGTGTTGTTCAATTGTTCCGTCGTATTCGGTGATGAGTATCCTTGGAGGTGGGGAGTTATTATTGATAGGGATTGTTTAAATGAGAAAAAGTGAGCAAAGCAACGTTGAGTTTATATAATGATGGAATGAAGCAGGTTTTTTGTTTTGTTTTTAACAGCGGTGTTGGGAAAGTTTTTTTTTTTGTTTGTTTGTGTATATTTCATGGAAAGGGAAAATAAAAAGAAAAATTAATTAGTTCAAAGTAAGGTTATCTTTTTCAATAAAAACGCAATGCTACACAAATATAGTACATATATGTATAATATTGAAATTATGTAAAGCTTAAATATAATAATAAAGAGAATATGCTCGAATAGAAAGCTAAGGCGAGAGCAAACAGCGTACAGCAATATTTTTTAAGGTTTTTTTTTTTTCAATTACATCTTCATTCTTTTTCTTATTATTAACAGAAAGTAATACAACAGTAAAACCAAGTAAATATTGTAAATCACGTTAATAGTTGCTGTGCGCTGTTGTAACTCCACAAAAACGCATTCAATAAAAAAAGGGTGGTTGGGATTTAAAAAGCCAAAAGTCTTAATTGTTATATATATATATATATATTTTTTTTTTGTTTGTTTTCAATAATATAAAAGGGAACAACTATTTATGAGTATAATAAGCACCTTCGGTTATTAGATTTATATCATTCAGAAGCTGCTCCCCAACCTCGGCATCAAGATCTTTTAAGTATATAAAAAATAAAAAAAGAAAACAAAAAATACAAAATAATTGTTGAAATAGAAAGAAGCGTAGAGAATTTCTTGTACTTTTCTTGTAGCTGATTTTTTTTTTTTTTGTTCATCTATTTTTGCTTTATTTGTTGCACTCAGTGCGCTTGCGCAAAAGCTGCGTGATTATTATTTATATATTGCAATGGAAATGTATTGAAAACGATTATATCTACTTATATTTATGTATGTAAATAAATACATGGGTGAATAAGTGAAGAGGTAATAGTATTGAAAGGAGTAAATTATACAATCGCAGAATTAGTTTTGGATTTTAGTAAACACTTGGAAAAATTCGGAATTTTTTTACTATTCCATTTTTCAAAATCATAAACGGTTTGACTTCTAATTGGTAAGCTACATACTTAGGTATGTGCGTAAAGGTGACACTCTTTGTTTTCTTATTAAGCTGTATTTTGAGTTAAATAATGACTTTTAATAAACCATTGTATTATTGTTAGATTAAAATCAAAAAAAAAAAAAATAAGTAAATAAATAAATACTACTACAATAATGCAAAATGAAACTTACACGTATATAGTGACATGTAATTAAGTAGTTTCATGTAGTAAAATTATTTTTGGAAGAAGTGTAAGAGAAGCTCGTTTAGGTTGTGCAAAAACGTCTGCCGCTTTTCTACTTTTGATTAGTATTTTGCGCTTCAAAATCTATTTTTATGTATTTTTGAAAATCTATTTTTGCTTGTTTTTGAAAATCTATTATTTATTATTATTGAATGCCTAGTGTTTTAGAAAATCGGTTTTTTTTTAATGATTAAACTAAAAATAATAATTTTCGAAAATTTAATCTTTCTTATTTTTAAAATTAATTTGTATTTGTTTATGAAACTAATATTTATTTTTAAGTAAAAAACGTTAAATTTTGAAAATCAATTTTTACTTATTTTTGAAAACATATATTTCTATGTTAAATAAAAGTTGTTAATAATATTAGAGGATCAATTTTTTACTTATTTTTGAAAATATAATTTTACTTTTGATTATGCATTTTCTGAAACTATATTTTTAATTATTTTTTAAAATCTTGCTTATTTTTGTAACGATAATTTTATTAATTTTTATTTATTAAAAGAAATCTAAATTTATTAATTTTTATTTTTTTTAATTACTTTTCGAAATTTGCTTTTACTTATTTTCGAAAACATATTTTTTTATTTTTTTTTAATATATTTTTACTTATTTTTAAAAATCTGCTTTTACTAATTTTTGAAAACCTATATTTTTTTATTTTTGAAAATCTATTTTTATTTATTTTCGAAAAAATATTTTAATTTATTTTTCAAAATATATTTTTACTTATTTCTGAAAATCTGCTTTTATTTATTTCTAGAAATGTCTTTTATTATTAATTTATGAAGTATATATTTATTAATTTTTGAAAGAATATTTTTATTTATACTGAAAAGTTCATGGCACCCCATAATATGAGACTGTAATTTTTTCTTTTTGTCTCGTTTGAGAACTATAAACGACATATAAGGAAATAATCTTCGTTTTGAAAACGATTAGCTTAATGATGAAATCGCTTATAATTATGTAATTGTTTCAAAAAATATTTTGCGGACTTTATTATATCGAAACTCATCTTTAACTGAAGAAATAATTTTAAATTTAATTTAAAAATGAAATTAAGTTATAAAAAAATTAAATAATAAATTAATAATAATATCTGTATTTTCCTAATCCAGGAGAACGTTAAAAAATTTGTTTCATAAGTTAATTTTTTCATATTTTTTCTGCAGTTGCCTCTCTTCATTTATTTTTCACATTATTTTATACTGTTTACTTGGTTTGTGTAAATTTTATTGCATGCCATTAATTATAAATTTTTGCATTTTATTATTAAGTTATTATTTTGACTATCCCTGCTTCGAGAGTATACAAAAAAATTCAAGAATGTGTCTGAAGTAAACCGTAAATTACTGTATATATTGTATTTTTGTATGCAAAAAAATTAAAAGCTTGCGCTTGATAAATGTTCTTTCAGCCATTACATGTATATAGAGTAAATGCAAAGCAATAGAAATAATATTAATAATATATATGAATATTACCAAAAATGTTGTAAAGTACGAGAACGAAGATGAGCGATAGAATAAAAATTAATAGTGAAAAAGCAAATGGCAAGAGTACGTATTTTAGTAAGTAAGCAAATAAGTTGAATATATTTAATTAGACAATAATTCAAATATTAGTAAATACTTTTATATGTTCACATACACGTACATACTACTACATATTCGCATGTCTTAGCATACGTTTATATGTATGCTTGTATGACATGATTGTTGTTTTCAGGTTTTCATTTTCTTTTTGCATTATTATTTAGCTTTTCGTTTAATACACGCAACTTTATGTCCTACCTTCACTAATCAAATCCTTGCTACTCTTATTACGTTTTGTAGTTTTCACATCGGCATCATCATTATCGCCAGATACCATTTCGAGATCATCGGAAATCTCATCGTCATCTGACATTTCGGTAGTACCAAGAAATTCGAAATTAGCCATTACCGCTGCTTCAGTATCCAAAATTATGGCATCATTTTGCTGAGCTTTTTTAGCTGGTGTGCGACGACCTAAGGAAATTAGAGAGAAAAATAGTTGGAATAAATGATTTTTTCAGACTCAATTTTTTCATTTTTTTTTATTTACTAACCCTCCGATTCCGCTGTACGTTTATTGTTCTCATTGCCATTTATATTTGGACTGACATTCTCCTCCTGTTCGGAGTTGTTATTGAGACCAAGTATTGAACGCACCCGATTTGAACGCACATCGATTATATTATCTGTGTAACCGATTTCGGCCAAATACTGTCTGAGCATTTGTCTGCCCTGTCGCCAGGTTGTATTCGATACTGAACTGTATGGTACTTCCGAATCGGGCGCTACCTCACTACCCAGACCGGCATCATCGGTTGGTGGCTTCAATTCGTTCAATTGTGGCGGATCAGTGCCGTATTTGAGTCGATAGAATTTTGCACGCTCCTGCCGTAAAGCGTATTCCAACATTTTAATACGTCGTGTTAGATCGGATTTGAGGCTTTCGAGACATTTTCGTTCGCCCAATAGCATTGCTATGCGCGCCTGTGGAAATGAAAAGAGAGAAGAAAAGGTGTTAATTATTAAAAATCATTTTTGCGAAATTTGAGCTGTCTCAACATTAAAATTAATTAAGATGAATTCAAAAGTATGCGAAACCGTATGAAATGAAAAAATTGTGTATTCATAGAAGGAACTTTCTAAATGCCATTCCCATTCGTGAAGTCAGGTCATTCTCCAACTTATCTTTCCCACGGAGTAAAGGTTTTCTCATATTTTGATCCCAGGAGGGGTATAGTAGACTTTCTACACTCTAGTAAATTGTTGTTGTTGTTGTAGCGGTTCGCTAACCCCGCTTAGGCACAGGTTTGATCAGTCTAAGTCGCCGACGTCATCTAGTGGTAGGTCCAGGAAACGAGTCTAGTCTGGATAGGTAGGAGTTTAACCTGCTACAATATCCAGACCTGAGTTGTGTCAGGGTCTAGTAAATTCATTAATCCAGAGTCTTTATTCTAATCTAGTCAAGCACCTGGGGTGTAGTCGACAGTGATATTCTTCCCTGAATGACAAGGAAGGAAACTTGTCGAATTTCGAGTGCACACCTGATTTTGGCCAGCGCCAGTTTATGCATCCTTATTCTGTTTTACAGGTAAGCCGAAATCCGTCATAGCCGGTTAGAGACAGCTCCGAAGAGATGATGTTTGTCAACGTCTTTCTCACGGTTGTTTGTCAAATCGATATTCCAGTTCTGAACTTACGCAGTTGGTACTTTTTTAATGGATCGCTAAGTTGGCCGGTCCCGCGGCTTTGTTTTCTTCAAAACCATCAGCCAGCATTTCCCTTGTTGACCAGCGCCTCATGCTTTTCGTTCTCGGAAAGTTTGGTACTTTTTTCCCCCGTTCCCTCTCTGTAAATGCGCCTTGCTGGTCTCCTCAGCTCTCAATATCTGTCACACACATGAAAAGTGTTGCGCTTGATCTCAACATTACGAGCTACCATTCATTGCCTCTCTACTCCACTTCAAAATTTCTCATTCAACATCCTTCGACAATGCTGAAATCAATTGTTTCTATGGCGCTACATTAAAGAGAACTTGATTTGCAGTCTCACAGCTCCCTGGTTTCGAGAATTCGCCGAGGAACGAGCGACTGGATCTGGATAACGATAAGATAGTGGTCCGAGTGAATATTCAGGCATTCAGATGCGACTAAATCTAAAACAGTGGATACATGTCTTCTGTCGCACACAATATAATGTATTTAGTTTTGCCTTTCGAATCGTTGACAGGCCAGTGGCTTGAAGAGTTTTCTATGCTGGATACAGGTCCGAATCCCCACGCGGCCAATCAGAATCACAACGTTTGAAGAGTTTTTGTTGAGAGAGCTGAATTTTTGAATTTTCCCATTAAAAATACCTTTTTTTGTCCACCCTAACGTTAGCATTGCAATATTTGATTTCAACATCGTTTGGGAGAGAACAAGAATGATTCCCAAGCGCTCAAAAAAGTCGTCACGACATGGTCCGTCTCTTTTATAGGGGGCGCGGACACAAATCGAAAAAGCTAGCTATGACTCGGATTGTGACGAACCGTTCGTTAACGGCGATGAATAACAGTGCTCAGCGGCAGAGGATCTATCTGGGTCCCACCACAAATTGATCAAATAATTTGTGAAAGAAAATTAAAGTTAAAACGCAAAAAGTTATAAATTTATAACTTTTCTTTCCGTCAAAATAATAAAGTAATTATAAACAAATTCATATGTGTTAAATTCTAAAACTTTTTCTGATAACGCCATTAACGTTAATTTATTATTATTTTGATAAAAAAAAACCAAGCATTTTATTTGAATGACGCCGTTGCCTGATAATTCTATGGAATGTGAGCATACATACATATGTATTGTATTTATGCAAGTTCCTACAGACATATGTACATACATATGTACGAACTGTAAAACAACAACAAATGAAATAAAACAATAATAACAGCAGCGACAGCATTTTGAACTATTTCGCATTTAAAATTGATTATTAAAACGTAATTATTAATTACGAAGTTGGTAGAAAAGTCATACATACATATGTATATATATAAATACATATGCATGAACATCGCCTTTTGAAAGCGTTCACATGGCGCAAGGCGGTGTAACTCGTGTAGTTCGTTCATGAGCCAACAGATGGGTACGTGCTTCGAAAGCCACCGACAACAACATTAAGCGCAACAACGCGTGGATATATGGAAAATATTAATTAAAATTCAATGAGTGTATGAAAAAAGGAAGCGAAGCGTTGAAATCACATAAATACATACATACACACATATATGCACATATTACACAATCGATGCAGGGCGACAAATCGAAGGAACGATAAATATCCCATAAAATATTGCCACTTTGAAAAAATGTGTGTGTCAAATGTAGATTTGTTGGACGATTTAAAAGAGGTGGACTGTGTAATCAGATAAAATTTAAACAAAAGGAATATATTTTTTTTTGTGTATGTCCGAACTTCCTGCTTTTCTCATATACATATGTACGCTCGTACATACGAGGGGCAGTTGATAAGTTCACGGTTTTTTTATTTTTCAATATAATCTCCCTCAAGTGAAATACTTTTACCACTAAAAAATATTCTTTAAATTTATCTTGAAAATAGTTTTCTACGGCCGACTTAATGTCACGGTGATCTGAAGACCGTAACTCATTTTTTAAATTGACGAAAAAAGGAAAAAAAGCCATTGGGTACCACTCCTACCGGACTGTAGGTTAAAAGGTCATTTTCAGTAAATCCAGTAGCTTTAAGGCATCCTTCGCTACTCGTGCGTTGCGAAGGGTTCTTGAAAAATCTGCACTCCGCAAGTCTCTTCTGTATGACTACCTCACGCGCCTGACACATCAAATTAGCGTAATAGTGGCCGTTTATTATACAATAGTTCCCTTTGGCATGTAATCATTTAATAATGTTCCTTCGCCATCCCAGAAAATAATAGCCATTTTCTCTGACGTCGACTTTTCCACTTTGAATTTTTTTTAGGTGGCCTTTCTAATTTTTTTTCCATTGGATCGACTAAAAAAAATCCAACTTTCATCAACTGTTGCAATGCGTTTGCATCAATTTCATCCAAAGCATCTTGGCACAACTCCAAAAAATCTTTAGAACTCTCCAATCGTCTTCTCAGTTGCCCCTCGTAAGTATACTAAATTTTGCCCGCGACTTCATCCGCATGATTTTTTTTTTCGCTATTAATTTTATAAACATATATGTATATATAATTGGCGCTTTGTAACCGCTGAAGCTGTTTTCGGCCGAGCTCTTTCCCTCATTTGTGATTTTGCGTATTGATGTTTTTCCAACAAATGAGAGACCTACAGTTTGTACTAAGTCGCCTCCAAACGGCTCGAACAGGATGACGGATTTCTTTAAGAAGCTTGCAGCTTCATTATTGGCATCATTTCTGCATGTATTTGACTGTCGCTGGGACACTCTGAGGGCGGTGTGGTACGCCGCGTTGTCGTGATGAAGGATCCTGTTACGAGCGATGTCTGGGCCCACCCTGTTGCCTCGTTTTCGCAATCTTTCGAGTACTTGGCGATAGTCGACTTTATTTACGGTTTGCCCCGGTGAAAGAAATTCTTTGTGGACGATTCCACGGCTATTAAAAAGGCAATAATCATCGTTTCCATCTTCGACTTTCTCATGCGAGCTTTCACGCTTTCACGCCCCTCCTTAAACTCTTTATGCCATCGAAACACCTGGACACGACAGAAAACACTATCACTTTTACAATTTTATAGTACCCTGACACAACTTAGGTCTGGATATTGTAGCAGGTTAAACTCCTACTTATCCAGACTAGACCTCAGCATACCCAACGTATGCCCTGCATGTGGAGAGTCTCCGCACGACACTAACCACCTCTTCACATACCCTCTCAAACCAACTCATCTAACCCCCCTCTTCCTCTGGTCCAACCAACCCCGTCGAAGCTCGTTTCCTGGACGTACCATTAGATGACCTCGGCGACTTAGACTGATCAAACCTGTGCCTAAGCAACAAAAACAATTTTACAGTACGTTTCCGAAGCTGTTTCGCCCAATTTGGCGCAAAATTGTATCGCAACAAGTTGCTCTTGATTTCGTTTTTCCATTTTCATGACGAGCACCACGCACGCGTTTACTCAACACGACACAGCAAGCTAACTAATTTCAAGGTCGCAGGGTTAGCACAATGGCGGCAATATTCTCATTACTTAATTGGCACACCTCGTACCCAACCTAATTCCAGCGAGCACTGAGTTCCCGCACGGCACTAACTACCGCCTTACTAAATCGCTAAACCATTGCAGAGCTTACAAAGGAGAAAAGCTTAGCGTCTAATTAAGGATTAAGTTCACATCTGTGATCTCTAAAATACTTTAACTAACAAAGAAACGTACTACATAGGATTATCTTTGCTCCTGACTTACTGTTGACCGCTCAGTATACTTGCCGTGAAACTTATTTTCAGCTAGATTTCTCTGCACTAAGCGAGGTCTTTCTTTTTTAATTATTTTAATGTCATATGTTTTTCCTACAATAACCTAAAGCCTCCTGGAGAGACATGAATTATTTTATGAAGCCTTTTTTTCATGGTAGAAATACACTGTGCGATGACCAGGAATTTACAATAGATAATCATTTTCGACCCTCAGAGAATTTCGAGAATAGAAAATTGGATGTTCTCTTTTACTAGGTCCGTCATGACAAAATCAAAAGAATTCTCAACCATTGTTCTTTGAAAAATGTTTCATTATATAGAAGAAGCGTTGCCTTTAATCTCAAAGCGTAAATATTGATCTGCATGCCCTTTTTGGTTTTTGTAAACTTCTTATTCGATAAAATGAGTTTAAGAGTGTCTCTTCTGCTGCATACAACGGAGTTTACCATGTTAGTGCAGTTTTTGTAGAATTTACGGCAAGATTCGTATTTGTTTACTAAACCAATACAAGCAAACGTTGGGAAAATCAGGCTGTAATGATGCCGTGGGGATTTAGGAAAACA